AAAAATAAAATTGCAAATCGAATTTAATATCGTCCCAATGAAAAAAGTAAAAAAAACAAAAAACTAATAAAAATGTCTAGTGCAACAAAAAATGTAAAATGTCCCTCAAGTATCACTGTTCTCATGAAAATAATATAAATATGCACCCTATGGTCATGGGTCATCGTAATGAAAAACTCTCATCGAGTCAGTCTTCAAGCAAATTCATAGAGAACATATTCGACATCTTCTCATCAAATTTCTAAAGTTGCCTCCAGAATACACATGACCTGCTAGATAGAAGTTGCTTGTGATGGGTTTGGGGTCATCGGTGCATGAATCCACCAGCTGTGAAATCTAGATTCTAATGAAAGCAGCTACCTCTTTTTTTCTTTTTCTCAACTCGGGAACGCTTTGACTGACTAGTGGATTCAACTTCATAGAGGTTTGTGATGGGGATTTCATTAAAATCACCTGTTTGTTCTGTAGTCAGGTTTTCAAAAATGCCACTAAAACCTATCTCACTAGAAGCACATGCATTATTGTTCATTGTCATGACACAACCAAACATATGATCTAACTTCTCTTCCAACTCAGGATCAATGCCACTGTATTTAATTTTTTTTATAGTTGGCACCACCTAAAAAGTGATAGCACATGTTGATGCATTTGAAACAAAAAATATGAAAATTTGACGAAAAGTAATGGATCTTTCAAAAATGGTCACCCACAATCTCTCTGCTCGCCACTCTGAAGTATCAATTATTCGCTTTAATGGATCCTAAACCAAGCTCTTAGATGCTCGCTTCAATTCTTTCCATATTTTTCAATCCTTTTTAAGTAGATTCATTTGTTTTTAACTACATCCTATTGTAATCCCTGTTTGTACTATCCTTGAAATTTTTAATAATATTTTGCAGCCCTCCGTGTTAAAATAATTTTTCAACCTATTTCCCAATTCGACCTCCTAGAAGCAAATGTCGTAACATATTATTATTTTATCCTTATCCCACATTGCAGATGAACCGGCCTTTTTGGTCTTAACCATTATATATACTTGCTTGAAAAACTAAACAACATAACTATTTGTCATAAAAAATATTTAACACAACTTAGAGAAAAATAAGAATGCCACAATAACATCACTCTGCCCCTCCAACAACCTGCATAATATCTCCACACCACACTGCTACACCGCCCACACATCACTACACAACACCACAACACCGCCACCACCTCCACATACCCTAGGCATCAACAAACCAAAACATCCATAATACCACCTCAACACATCAACATATCAACACATCAAAACATCCACAATAACAACACCACCTCAACACACCCGCACATTCACTCACTAACAACATGACGAACACCTTAACTGAGGGCAACAACACCAACCAAATTTTGTGCAACAAAAATCAAATAATTTGGGCAACATCACTTACATTCCCAACAACCACCATCTATGTTTCCAATCTATAAATGCAAACACCACCGCCTTCAATTTGCATATGCAAATATTTTTATTGTCTTTTCACTTGCATTTGCAACCGCCACCATGTATGTTCTAATTTACATATGTAAACACCAACACCAAACGAACCATTGCATATAATCAAAGCCATCAACAGAATTCAGCATCAGGAAGCAAAATGACCTACCAAGCATATCATTTCTATTTCCTTTTCACTTGCATTTCCAACCACCAACATCTATATTCTAATTCACATATGCAAACACCACCACAAAACTAGCCATTGCACATAACCAAAATCATCAGGATGCAGCATAAAGAAGCAAAAATATCTACCAAGTATGTCACAACGAAAACCACCAAACTGAAAAGCCAATGTCCATTGAAACCAAAAAGCAGAGGGCCGAAACCACCAAATTGCGAAATCAAAAACCACTACAATTGAACAATTGCATCCAATTGCAAAATCAAGAACCAACTAGTAGATAACTCAAAGACCACTGAAACACTGGGGAGAGGAAGAGGAATCCTCACACAGAGGCACTATTCGCAGAACCACCAAACCAAGCCGGATAAAAGACAGAGGAGGGAGAATAGAAAGTTCACCAGAACAACCAACCTAAACCAAGGAAGAGGAACCACCGCATAGAGCGCAGACTACGCGGAACCACCAAACCAACTCGAATAAAATAGAGAGGGAGAGAAGAGTGGAAGCTCACCTCAACAGCCACCTGAAACCACCAAAAGTAGGGCTGTCAAAAAAGCTTATTGTTCGCGAACAGCTCGTGTTCGGCTCGTTCTCGTGTTTGAATCATTCGTTGTTCGGCTCGTTCGTGAAGTAAATAAGTCGAACACGAACAATTTTTTAAAGCTCGAATTATAAATGAGCCGAACACGAACAGCTCCTTGGTTCAAATCTCGGGCCAGATTGTGATAATAATTTTGTTAAAATTAGAGCACTTTATATTTTTTTTTTCTTTTATATATATTTGATCCATGTTCGAATCTCACACTTTACATCTATTTTTCTTAATTTAAGTTTAACAAGCTAATTTTGAGCTGAACACGAACACGAATATTTTAATCGAGTCGAACACGAACACATTGTTCACGAGCCGATTTCGAACATGAGCTATTTCGAACGAGCCAAACACGAGCCAAGCCTGAGCTCGCTCAAGCTCGACTCATTTACAGCCCTAACCAAAAGGCTGCCGGAAATAAGGGTGAGCACCAGGGTCACAGAATCGAGGGGCTCGAGAGAGGAGATTTTTAGGACGAGAGGCGTGTCGAGGGAAGGAGGGCAGCAAGAAAGGAACGAGGGCAGCAAAGAAAAAGTAATAGCGAAGAACGCGGGTCGCAGTGTCAAACCTGCAGCCCGTATTTTGTATAAAATTAATCAAACTGCAACCGCGCCGTTGTAAACAAACACCGCAAATTGCGGTGTGAAACCGCACCGCAGGGAAACCGCCACCTTAAACAGGCGTAAATTCAAAACTAATAACTAGGTTGCTCGGTACAAAGCTCGACTTGTGGCTCAAGTTTACAAACAAGAGTTTGGGATCAATTACTTTAAAACATTTAGTCCAGTTACTAAAATTTCTACCATTAGGATATTGTTCACTATATAGCTCTTCATAATAATTGGGAGATTTTGTAATTTGATGTCTCCAACATGTTTTTGCATGGTAATTTCAGGATAACATCTATTTGCATCAACCATAGGGATTCTAAGACACCCGACACCCAAACATGTTTGCCTTCTCAAGAAGGCCCTTTACAGTCTCAAACAAGCTTTAAGACAATGATTTAATATGCTATCTACATTTTTTTATTGAAACTGAATTTACTAACAGTAAAGTCGATGCATCTTTGTTCCTATATCATAAGGATAAACTGAAAATATTTGTTTTAATCTATGTAGATGATATTTTAGTTACAAGGAATTGTACCACAGCTATATCCAGTTTTATATTTAATCTTGATTCAAGATTTTAGATAAAACATATAAGACCCATGATGTGTTACTTTGGCATTGAGGTAATAAAGATGCAAAATGAATATTTTCTAAATCAGCATAGGTAAGTTCAAAAACTTCTGAGCTTGGTTGGGATGCAAAATTGCAAGGGAGTGGCTACTCCCTTAAGTACTAAGGATTCAATTCAACCAAAAGAAATGGAGTTATTCCATAATCCTAGCTTCTGTTAACAATTGACAGGATCTTTGCAATACTTAACGATTACCATACTAGATATATCCTTTGATGCCAATTATCTTTCTCAAAATATGCATAAACCAACAATTTATCACTTTCAACTCCTTACTAAACTTCTCAGATACATTCAAGGGACTTTGAGATCTGGCCTAGTTATTTAGCAGGGTGATCTAACTCTAAGGACGAATGTGTATGCTAATTGGGCAAGTGCTAAAAAAGGTCGAAAATATACATTTGGTTTTGCTACTTTCTTAATCAAACGTTGATCTCATGGAATGCCAAGAAGCAAAATAGAGTTGCCAGATAATTGATTGAAGCGGAGTATGGAGCTATGGCGACAGCTACCACCGATGTCCTATGGTTGTGCGGGCATGTACAAGAATTTGATGTCCAAATAACACATCCCACCTTGATATACTGCGATAACATATATATTATATCTCTGGCTAATAATCCAGTGTTTCATGCGTGGACAAAACAAATTGAAATTTTTCATCATTTTATCAAAGAACATATGAACTCAAACAAATTCTAGTTCATCATATTAGCTCTCAAGATCAAACGGTTGATATACTTACCAAACCACTATCATGCCCACGATTCAATCTACTTCAGACCAAGCTAACAGTTCAACCAGAACCTATTCGCTTGAAAGGGAATAATAGGAATGAGAACTTCGCTGAAGATTGCAATAAGTAGATTATAAAGTATGCGGTCCAAGGTCAATGGATTTGGGTTTTGTATAGGCTTTTCATAGTTGTCTTGCAGTCTGTATATAGGACCTATTGTACCCTTGTGATTAGTTTTAATATTCATTTGTTAATTTTATGTCATTAGTGTAGGGGCGGAGACATCAAAGCGGCAATCAATAATGGTGACGGAGGCAAAGTGATGACCAACTTGGTTGCAAAGTATGGCTGCTGAGAGTTCATATTTTAAAAATTGAAGCATCAAAAAGTTATTTTGAGTGTTTTTAAAAATAATCTATCTCCAGAGATGAAATTCAAATAATTACAAAACACAAGGCAAAATTTTTTTAAGAAAAAATCCCAGTGCAAAACTATGAAATAAAATACATTTACATCAAACGAAAAATATTGACACCCAAAAAAAAAACAAAAGGCAAGAAAGGAAGACTATCAAGATGCTAAAGGAAATTCTTAGAAATGTGTTGGTTGATGAACAGCATCTACTCCAAAGTTTAAGATAATGTTAAGGGCCACCACTAGTGCAATTATTCTTCACTTATGGCATAAGTTTAGTCTTCATTCTCATGTGCATCTCAGCAAAAATATCATAAATATAAACCCAAGAGACAGGAATCCTAACCTCAGAATCAGAATCCATGTAAAGAATCTCCCGCACACCACCGGGTACAATTAGGCAGCTGTACCCAGCTCCCAAAGACTTGCAAAAATTCTTCCTTGAGGCTGGAATCATACCCAACCACGTCCATATTTGCCTTAAAAATGGTATATAGAACAGCTGGGAAAAGAATATATGGCAATAACTCGTAAAATTTTAGAACTTACAGTTAAACTCCATATATACTTATTCAAGCTAACTTAAAGCTCGACTTGAAGAAAAATAGTGCTAACTTAAACTCAAAAAAATAGGAAGAAACCTTACAGAACTGCCGGCAAGAACCTTAATCTTTGGAAGTGGAAATAAACGAGCATCTTGGGAAAAAGCACAAAAGCCAATCGCCATTACTGAATGAGGCTCATAGCCGAAGACTGCAATGAATTATATTAGCTCTCATACTTTTGAGTGAATTAAATTAGAAAATCATACGCCAATATATACAAGGCCTCCAACATAAGGTCTTAGAAAGTTAATAATATAAAATTTCATTTTTTTTCATTTCTAGTGAAAAGTAAATGCATTTCCTCTAAATAACACTAAATTCTTATGTATTTATATGAATGGCGTATTTCACTTTTAAAAGTTAGTAATAGTGATATTTTTTATGTGAAATGATAACTTTGAGTGTTATAGATGTAAAAATCAAAATTTTAGGTGTAAGGTACATAAATAAATAAGAATTATGTGTTACCTATGCAAATGTCCCAAAGTAAAAATAGTTTTAAAATGTTATAAACATAGCACACCTAAACTTTCATATTTACACACAAAGCACTCAAATCTTTAATATCACATCAAACATAACACTATTATCACTTTTTAAAATTGAAATATAGGTTTTCATGCATAGGTTTAAACACACACGAAAGTGCTATTTCTGTAAATACAAAAGTTTAAGTGTGAGAAATGTAAATACATAAGAGTTGTGTGATAGTTATGTACATTTCACATAAATAAAATAGTTTTTTTTTTATCCTAAGAAATAAAGAATATTACTACGACTAACACACATGTCTGAGCTCTTCAATCTCTGCTACCACTATTTGTTGCACAACTGATGCTAGCCAACATGCAAAAATTAAACTTAGGTTTACAAATCAGAATCCACGATTATTTTTATTTGCATTTTTTTTTTAATAATTTCGCCAATTTCGTCCGTTCACACAAAGCCAAATTATAAGAAGCTCTATTCAAAGAAAAAATATTACATCAGTACTACGCACGTAGAGTAACGTGCGTAGACAATGAAATCACGCCACGACACCCCGTGCGACAGAAAAAAAAAACGGCGCAGTAACACGGGGAATATTCCCCCGTGTTATTCATGTGTTATTGTGTGTTATTCATGTGTTATTGTGTCCTGAGAATATTCCTGGTGTTATAATAACACAATAGCACATGAATAACACATAAATAACACGGGGGAGAATATTCCCCCGTGTTACTGCGTCGTTTTTTTCTCTATCGATAATATTCCCCTTGTTTTTCAGGTGTTACCCTTGTTACTCAGGTGTTATTGTATGTTATTCATGTGTTATTGTGTCCTGAGAATATTTTTGGTGTTATAATAACACAATAACACTTAATAACACATGAATAACACGCAATAACACATGAATAACACAGGGGAGAATATTCCCCGTGTTACTGCACCGTTTTTTTTTTCTATATCGCGCGGGGTGTCGTGACGTGATTTCATTGGCTACCCACGTTAATTCTACATGCGTAGTATTTAATATTTTTTTCCTATTCAAACAACCCAAAGATAAATCTAACCCTACCATATGCTTGGTTTGGATCAAAATCACTCGTGTCCTCCACATGGATAGTCACAGGAAAATACCCAAGTGCATATTTGCAGATAAATCTGAAAACCCGATATAATTTCATCACAAACTCGGAGCATTTACTCCAAAATGTCAAGCCGAGGAACAAAAAGAACAATAAAATGAAAACCTCGACAAATTTCGTCCCCATTTGCTCTTATGATTGAGGGGTATCACCAAGAACAACAACTGCAGCGCTAAGACTCTGCAAAAGAAATGGTAATTAAGAATAAAAGCGAAATGAAGGAGAAGAAAACAGTGGGAAGACAGATACGAACACAGCGGCGTAGCGGAAGGGAAGAAGAAGGAGCGAAGCGATGGCGAGGAAGGCGTTGAAGTAAATGCCGCCGAGCCAGAGAGCTAGGGCTAGCGTCGAGCGAATGGGCGAGTAGTCAGTTGCCCTGAACACAGCCGAAGCCATCGAAGAAGAAGGCAGAAGAGAAAGAGAGAAGACTACGACTACTGCTTGTGTATTGGGATGGAGGAGCAAGAAGGGCGGGCGGTTGGGAGTTGGCGAAATAATGCTAGACCAACTGAAAGGTGGACGCAATAAATTAAGAGAAATAGTTTTCAGGTTTGATTTTTATGAAGCAGAACTGTTTCTACATTAATCTTCCGTTTGGGGCCGCTGTTTTTAGTGTGGTGGCCTCTGAAAATGCACCGGCCACCTGGCCTGTTTTAATAAATTATATTTTTGCTGATAGGTTAACTGTGATGATTATTAAAAATTTTTATTCTTTTTTTAAATTCAGATCGCTACATGAAAGCTGTCACCGCACCTAAATAGATGCGGTAAGGTGTGAAAACGCTCGGCGTTTTCAAAACGCATAAACTATCAAAATGCAGTTTATTCAAACAGTTCATGTGTGTTTTTAAAATGTCACCGCACATGTTAATAGTAGGAGCTGAACATGAGCTAGTGGGAGTCGAACACGAGTTGTTCGCGAACAATGAGTTGTTTTGACAGCACTAGTTAATAGTTTTCTCAAATTAAACTTCTACTAATCTTAAGAGGACTGCTCTAAGTAGTTGTGAAGCTATTGATTTAAATGGAGGAGAGGTGAAATGAGCCATCTACGCAGAAACCACCAATTCGTATGCATTTATCTATAGGGGAGTGACGAAGCGTGCTTGAGCGAGCCTAACCTCGGCTCCTTGTTAAAAAATATTATTATTTGTGTCTGGCTCGCTAATATATCGAGGTTTTTTTTTTTTTTTTTTTTTTTTTTTTTTTTTTTTTTTTTTTTTTTTTTTTTTTTTTTTTTTTTTTGTGGTTGGCCCATTCGCTTAAAGAGTCGAACACGAGTTGTTCGCGAATAATGAGCACTTTTGACATCCGTTGTCACGCCGCCATAAGTTATTAAGGATAGAGGCAATATTTAAATCTTATTATTTATATTAAAAAATCATTTAAATAGAATTTAATACATTTTTATTTTATTTTTTAATTAATAATTTAATTGAATATAAATCTTATAGCCTTGTAGAAAATTAAATTATTTAAAAAATAATATCATCAATTATATATATATGAGTCAATTATATAAATATATCACGGAGATAGAATAATGGATTCTCATCTTAGCGTTGCACGAGAATTCAGCACACACTCAGGTGAAAGAAAGCAACAATTAGCACATTCTAATAAAATTTAATTAAAAAAATTATGACCCAAATTTGTTCATAAAAAATAGAAATCTCCTTTTTATGATGAAAAAGGCAGACTTCATCTCAATATTTTTCTGAAATAAATTTTATTCCTTTTTAGGTTATGAAAAAACAATTGACTCTAAAAACCACTAATGTAACTTGTCACTGTTGAACTCAAACTAAATTTTAAAATAAAATTTTCATAAATATGAAATTTTCTCCTTAAATGTAAATATTTCACTATGATAACATTTTGAATATTTGGTATTATGTTCATATTAGCCTCTAAAACAAATGAAATGAGGCATTTGGGCCGTGAAGTTGGTATGTCAAGAAGTATTCCTCAAATGAAAGATTATGGAAATTATAGAGCTAGATTTCATATAAAATAATCTTTCATAAAATAGAATTAAATCTCCTAAATAAAAATGTTTGATTAATCATTTTTTATGATTTGTAATAATATTTTATAAATATTGTATTGATATAAAGATATTGAAGATAACTTTAATTGAGTTTAAGAAACCTTTAATTGAATTTAGAAGTTATAATAATATCTCATTGGACCGTTTAATATATTTAATTATATTACCTTTAGACCCACTTTTTCCAAGAATAAAAATTAAAAAAATAAATAAATAATAAAAATAAATTAGGTGAAGAGTTGATTTGCATTGTGATTTTTCTTATAAGCAAGAAAATAAAAAAAACAAAAAAATTCTGAACATGCAATACCTACCTCCAACTTTGTGGGGACTTTACTTAAAATCATATAAATTATTAAATCTATATGAGTGATGATCAGAGATTCCTTGTAAAAATAAAACAAAATGATCTCTTAAGGGTGTAAGTTAGCTGAGCCGGCTCAAGCTTGACTGATTAACGAGGTCACGAGTCAAGCATATCGTATCACGAGCTCGAGCTCGAGCTTGAGCATGTTAACACACGGCTCGTTGGCTCGCAAGTCTGTTGTTGGTACCGTAAGCAGAGCTAAAGCTCGTCAATTGAGCTCGAGCTTGTAGACTTGTAGTTTGACAACAGGCCGAGCTTGAGTTAAGCATGACTCGAGCTAGGCTCAACTGATTTACATCCCTATGCTCTCTACTCTGAGAGGTTAGAAATTGAGTAGCCTGGCAAGTAAGGAATACAGACCAACCAGATTTACTCGTCAACATTCAAATGCTTTCACTTCCCGTGGCAAATCACATGTAATCGTCATGTTTGTAGCCTAATTGAGAGTTACAATATAGAGAGTATTAGGAGTTTAAAATGGCATAAAATTAAAATTTTCATCATTAAAAAAACAAAGCAACTCAAAAGAAAGGAATTCATATTAATAAATTTAAAAAATATTTTTTTAATGCATAACTCTTGGACAATCCTCTAACCTATCTTTCTTCTGATTAGGCTTTATATGCCAAACTAGTTATGTTTTTTTCAATTACAAAAGAAGTTACAGAAAGAGATTAACATGAAACTCATGCTCCATGCATCATTAGAAGTCTTTTCAGGAGGCAGGTAAAGGATTTTTCTACCCTGGACAATTGTGATATTTATATCGCTAATCATTGTGCCAACCGAAGTCGACAAGACAGTATCGATCAAAGGTATGTTAGGTTTTGTTGACGGTAATCATCACAGAGACATTGATACATGCATATAAACTAATTGAGTATTTTCATTTAGAAAAGAACATTGATACATGCATTAGCATATATAGAATTTCTTATGAAAGTACGAAAAACCAACATATTATAATATTTCTTACAGAGATATGAAAGCTCAGCACGTATATTGATTTTTTTTTTCCTTAGATTGTTGTAGTTTGGAAATGTGATTATTCCTGAGTTATCTTTAGATAACTCATTATGTTGTTTTAATATTATTTTTAGGTTTTAAACGTTTCAACAAGATGAATAGAAGATGAACACAAATATCTTTAAACAATTTTCGGAACACAACATTGTGGGAGAAGCACAAGTCCAGCTATAGTGCAACTGACAAAGCCCATTTGAATTTTCTATTTTCATTAGAAATGTAAATGCATAGAAATTGAGCGATGTGTTTCAAAATGCCCAAAATTTTTTTTATCACCAGCGGCCACCATCTCACTTTGATGGCTTAACATATACTTGAAGCACCTTGGGATCAATTAAGTTTGTATTATCATAGTAAACAGAAATTATCTAAAAGGGAATTTACATAAATACCACATAATTCTTATATATTTAGACATTAAATACCTAAACTTCAATACTCAAGTATATCGCACTTGGATCTTTGAATCCCATATAAAAAATATCATTACTTTTAATTTTTTAAAGGTAAAATATATTCTTTCATGCTTATGTTTTAATATGATTGAGTCAAAAAGTGTTATAATATAAGTAAATTTCAAAGTTCATGTATTACATATATAAATAGATAAAAATTGTGTTGTATGCATGTAAAATTGCAAATCCCCCTTGATCCATGTAAAAAAAAGGAAGATTTACATCTTTATCATGCAATTCCTAGGTATTTCAATATCTAACACCTAAAGTTTGATTTTTATATTTATACCACTTTATCTAAGCATGAAAAAGTGTATTTCACAATTTAAAAGTTAATAACAGTGATATTTTTTTATGCCATATAAAATATTGAAGCACTATAGAAGTCAAAATCAAAGCCTAGGTGTTAGAAATGTAAAATACACAATAATTGTGTGGTATGCATGCAAATTCCCCAATAAAACATCTTCTACATTTATTTGCAATTCACCAAAATACAAAAAGGATCATAATGAAGTGAATGGAATATGCTCCAAGTTAGATGCAGTATTTATACTCCATACTCCAAAGCAGATTATCAACCAGATTATCAACCAAAAAAAAAAAACATACTTTGATTATGGATATTAAAATTCAATTATAACAAAAATGGGTACTTCAGGCTTGAATTTCATACAGTAATGAAATTCAGTAGCATCATCCTGAAGCATATAACTGGTACAAGACGTTTGGGAGCAAAGAAATGAGAACTTTCAGCAGATTAAAAGTTATAATCATTGCAGAATTAAATAAAAACAAAATGATTATTTTCAAAATTGCACTGTAAATTCAGCCTCAACATGAATAATAGAACTCACTTGCCAACAAATTCCTTCACGTTCTCTAACCATGTCAGATATTCCCTTTCATCCTTATGCATCATGTATTCATGTAAGAAATCGCGGAGAGAACTGTCAAAACCTCTTAATTTCAGATATTTGTGGAAAGCCTTTTGCAAACTTTCATCCAATTCCCTGCAACAACATAGTTAAAATAAATTTGTTAAATTTGTGTATGGGAAAGAATAAGTTAAAATCAAAGATAAGTACTGAGGTTTAAAAGAAAAAGACAGACAAAATGGGATTTTTTTCGTTCATCTGATATGAAATCGTAAACTATATAACAAATTTCCTTCTGAAGCTTGATATACACAAAAACCTCTGTGAATATTCTATGCAATTATTCTGAAAATATTTATAATTTATTCTCAGATTTTTATCGAAGTGGTTAATAAACTTTAGGCACCACTTCTAAGACTGTGCAGCCATGCTTTGTAGCAAAGAGACTATTTATAGAAAAAAAAAAACTTTACACCAAGCACACAAACAAACACAGCAAAGTAAGAAAACTCACGAAAAATCAGGTCCTTGGTAAGCTCCCTGGCCATCAGAATCATGGCTACTTTTCATTGTCATGCTTTCAATTTCAAGATCAGAAGAATTAATATTGCAACCAATTTCCAAGACAGGGCCCTCCCCTTTGTCTATAGTTACCAGCAGAGAAATATTTGGGGAAACAGCACTGTCCTGATCAACCTCACTAGCATCATCATCATCCTTGCTCATCTCTTCCCCATCAAAATTCATATATACTGTAGCTTGGATGTTCTCGCCAGCAAATTCACGCTTAAGAATGATAGTTTGATCGCCAGAATTATCAATGATTTCAAAGGGAAAATCTTTTGGAGCATCAATTTCCTGCAATTTTCAAGTTGAGCAATATGTATGTATGTATGTACTCAAATGGAAAATTCTGAGGAATTACTCGTGTCTAAAAAGCATTGCTCAGTAGAAAATGGTTAATAATAATACCATCCAATACTACCGGAATTGGAGGGACCCAAATATGTGAAGAAGGACCTTGATACAATTTCACCAAGAAACATCTTTAATTCAGGAAGAAATACATCACAGCATTCAATTATGAAACAACACCATTTATTCTAACCATTTAGTCTCAACTTTATTAATGATTTTTTATTGTCCATTCAACTTGTGGAGTGCCACATGAGATGTAACTCTATTCTACTTTTTTTTTTTTTTTTTTTTTTTTTTGCATAATTTATGTCAATTTTACCTTTGAGCTAACCTCCTCAATCCTTTAGCATTAACTTCATGCAACTTTTCTATTGGTACACTTGTATCGCTCATTGCATGAGCCCGGACTACTTAAGTCTACTTGAAATATCTTATCTTCAATATATACTACTCTCACCGTCCAACTAAAATAATCACTCTCCGTTCTATTCTAGTTAGTCGTTAGTTATGTCAAACATGCGGATAATAGAACTAGTGAACATCTTCCCATTCTACAGCCCCTAACTCGATTTAGACTCTTAAGATAAGCAAATCTATGATTTACATACTTTTTTTTACTCCATCAAAAAACAAAAGAAATCAATGAGAATATATAGTAAATTTTAAATGAGAAATAATAAGATGTGAAAGAAAAAGAGGACAAATTTTTTTTTTTTTTCATAGTTAAAATAACAAATTTCAGTCAGTGCAACATAGCAGTTATTAACTGCTCGTTGAAAGTCCCATTCTTATGAGAACCGATCTTAGCCCAACCCATCAATCTGAGTCATACCTTAATTGACATGGCCTTCGAGGCATCCTAGAGTTAGCCTAACATATTTGGATGAAAAGTGAAAGGCCTGGCAAGCTGTTTTGCATCCCCAAAAGCTAAACCATATTGACCCCAGCAAAGTCTAAATTAAAATAGAAGAACCCAACAATATTCAACTTTAGACCAGAGTGTCACAAAATCCTTTCATTTTCATAAATTTAGGCTTGATTACTTGATTAAAATTACAACTATGAATTAAGTTAAGTTAATAATATGAACGCTACTTAGCCTAGTTCAATTTTTTGGCTTCACCTAGAATAAGACTTGAACCATTTAAGACATCTACACCACTTATAAAGGCACTCCCTAAAGCATACCTCACAACTCATGAGATTTTCTACTCAGAGCAATCGCCGCATCCAAAAGCAGTCATGCACAAAGTCCCGGCAACATGCATTCTTCCCCTTTCACTTAGAGCACAAGTCTAAACTGTTGTTACATACACACTTCCTCCTTATCTAGCTTGCTTCTACAAGGGTATGTGGGTGCCTCGTGCTCTGCACAGCACACAGTGTTCAACTCATTGTTGCCTTCAACCACACTTCTCGCATGTGCCTCCAAATGCTCAATACACAACGTTGCACACATAGCTACACCTCATTACAATCTCTTTACCCTCTCATTGTACATGAAACCATCTATCTCCCTCATCGAGCACATGTGAATGCAGCTATCAAACTTCATCGTTGATCTACATCTGCATCTAATTACTAAAGAGTCATCATCAGCCATGTGTGAGATTCCTATCAACATCCTCACACCCAAGCTTAACCACCCTAGCACTTCTAACCTTATAGTTGAAAACCTATATGAGGTGAAATTCTCCAAACCCTTGGATTCTAAAATCAGCTTCACTGATACTCCTTCCAAATCACATATCATCATTCAAACTCGATCATCAGTTTTTAAAATTCAATTTGAATCTTATAAAATAATATTTTATGTTTCGCACAAATAATTTCATCATAAAGCATTTTTCAAATTCATGCCACCATTTTCTATATTACTATTATATTTTGATATAATTATTTAAATATTTAAAAGGTCATCAAAAATACAAATTCGTGCATTTTTTGCTCTAAAAATTTAGGTAATGCACCCCATGATTCCGTCTCCCACAAGCATTTTAAGTATATTTAAAATCACCCCATTCTTGCATATTTTGCATGTTTCAAATTATTAAACCCATAAATTATCATGTAGTGCATCATTAAGCATTCTCACACATTCTACGCATCTTGAAAATTCAAAACAATTTTCAGCTGATGTTCGCACACCACCCAATTCTTACATGTGTTGATACAGACCCATGACTTGACATGGTCGCCCAAACACATGGTCATTACATGATCTTTCGTGGCAAGAATAAGTATCACCCCTTGTACCTGGCACCATATGCACCATATGATCTCAAAAAGGGTAGTCTACCCTCTAGTTGATCAAACATGCGAAGTCAATAAATAGGTTACCATGACCCAATCATTTCACTTGTCATTTGCATCACAAATGATATCATGGCTTTGTATAGCATGCAACCACACGTTCATATTGAATATTATACACCCATCATGAGCACTATCCTTGCATCTAGACATTCATAAGTTATTCGCTCATGGCACGCATATTGCTATTACACTACATATGCACCTTCATAACTTGGACAATCTTGAACAAATTCTGGGGCTGCTCTTTGCAACTCATGCGATGCATGTCACAATCCGGTAGGAAAATTTAAGCATTAATTGTCAAATTCATTTATCATTGAATGACCATAATAAAAATCAAAGATAGAAGTTGGAATTTTAATTAAATTTATCTGCATTTTACTTTGTTTTATGTATGCATGTATGACAACAATCATCTAGCATTATGGAATACCTAAATTTGCAGCAAAACTAGACACATTGATTCATGCATGATTGAAGAATAGGTTTCAAATCATGAATTGATTTTTGTACCTTGCGAGAGCAATCCCCTTAGGTAACTCTCAGAACTGTTCCAAAGCTTTATGTAAAATGTCATGTATTCATTTACCATAGTTAGTAGATGATCCAAAGCACAATCCTCAAATCATAATTTAACCTTTATATTTGTGTATGGTGTTCAAACTTTCCACTTTCAATCTACATCTATAAAGAGAATAATACTGATGCAACACAAGTCAAAATAAGCACCACAAGAGCCCGTATAAATATGGTCCCACAACTTATTCCACAAAAGCAAGGTTGTGAAAATCTTATCGACCATTGAACTAGAAGAATGAGGGGTACAAAGTTCAAAGGTTGAACCAAATAACATAATAAATATTAAAATTATTTTAAGCTGATTTAAATGATTTGATAATGTACATATGTGATAAATATGTGAAAAAATAAACAAAGCTTGAACATAATATCTTTAATAATTATAAATTTAAAATTTGACATAAAACTCTTAAGATATAATGTCTATGTATTATAAATAGATTAAATTATATTTATATACATTAAATATATTTTAAAATAAAAAAAATGTAATATTGATATCTAAACAAAAATTAATTTACAGTAAGAATATAAGTTTATATTAATAGTAGAATTTATACTAAATAATAAGAATATAAATGTTAAAATTTTATCATAATATTCTTACATTTTGTAGCACAATCAATATTATCAAAGCCCAAGTCTCACAATTCAATTCTTCCTTTTCGTAGTCTAATTCATATTTCAATACTCATAATTTTTTAGTCCTCCATCATGAAAAATACTTATCGTTTCATTAGTCATTAAAAATAAAAGTTTTGTAGTTTGAGCTCCTAAGTCACCTGAGTGGTAGACCTGGTATGAATTAAATTGATTAAACTCATATTAATTAAATTTAAGATTTCTTTTAATTCATAATTATAAGTTAAGCATAATATAATTTATAAAACTAAATCTTATATGAAATATTTTAACCGTTTAATTGAGAAAGGTGAATAAAAAGGTCAATTTGAGCAACAATTTTCACCAATTGGAGGCAAAAATGATCCTTAAGGCTACCCTAAGGCCTCACCGGTTGTATGACCACTTCATGGTTGAACTAGTTGGTCTGTTCAGTCCAGTTTTTAAGACTTCGCACAAAGTTCAAACATAAGAAAACTCCAAGTTGATTCCCAGTAATCTGAGGCCAAATGTGCCAAGAATTTGTAAGCTCTTTGCAATACCATAAAGAAAGGACAGCCAAGCAATCAGTAACATAACTCGTATTAAGAAAGAAGGAACAGAACATGCAATGTTTCGTTTTTGAAGAGGCACATGACATTTTGAATCAAACAAAACCAAAACCAAAGCATACCGTTTTATGAACATAAATTTCGAAGAGAAGATTCACATTCAAGATATTTAACGAAAGAACGTAAATAAAAAGATGAGTCCAGATGAAAAATCCATTTCTAACCCAATCCAGATCCCAGCAAAACCCAGAAAAGTCGATAAATCAACAGCAATCATAGTAAAGATGGCCTTCTGTGAAACTTACCCGACCGTTCTCTTCGGTTTCCTGGGCACATTCGATCTCGGACTGGAGAACTTTATCAAGATTCTCATCAGCGTCAACCTTAGTTGAAGCGAAACGGAGAGAGAACAGGGCTGGAAGCTTCCTGATTGTACGGCTGCTAATCAGAAATTTCCGGGTCAGAAGAGGAGAGGGGGAAGAAGAAACCGTGGAACAGTAGAGCAGCGCAGGCGGGCGCCGAACAAATATAGCAGAGGAGATTGGAAGGCGGGCGGTTCTGCGAAGTAGGGAGCTGGCAATGGATGAAGCCATTCCACCGCAGAGAAGTTGAATGTGGTCGTATATCTTACGAAGAGAACACTGAGACACGATATCAGGGGATTCGATCCCTTGTCTAAGCGAAGCTCTCCCCTAGGGTTTAAGAAGAGGAAGAAAGGAAATGGTTGCTGGCGACCGGCAGTAGGCAGGGTTTAAGAGGTGAAATAATTAAATGGGCTTCATACTATGCAAATTTATGGTCAATATAATTATCTCAAATATATCAAAATCATCTAAATTTTATCTTATTTATAGCATAAAATGATTAAATATTTTTGAACCAAATAATAGAGTAATTGGTCATTTCCTTCTTTTATGATTAAACGAACAAGTAAAAAGAATGTGAAATGTTAATAAGAGGAATAAATATGTTATCTATAGAAATGCATGAGTTCAAAAGAATTGGAGATGTTGAAATAGACTCCAAAAACTTTTCAAAAGTGTCTAATGAATATAAACCCTAAGTCTGAGAAAGTTATTTTTGAGTAATTACAATATTTTTTCAATTTTAAGGGTCCACAAAATTAGTTATGAAATCATTGACAAAAATTTATAGTGATAGAGTAAGATATCAATGCCTTAGCATTGATAAAGTTCCCGCATAGACATAGATATAAGTGATTGAAGAGAACGTAGTTTTATGTGAAAAAATCACAAGGAAATTTTTATGTGAAAAACCACAAAGTTTTGTCTTTAAAATTATAAAGATTTATTTCTCTTTCTATGTAGAGAACATATGATTATAAAATTTTGACGAAGTTACAATGACCAAGCAACAACTGGTTCAAAATAATAATTTGGTTATAACAACCATAAAATAATAGTTAAACTATAATAATTACTAATGATGATAAAAGAATCACAGACAGTTGTTGGCTTAAGGCTCTCTTCAAGGGTATGTACATTAGTTCTTAACATTCTCCTATCTCTTTCATGTTGAAAAAGTGATCATAATTATAGAGTTTTAGGAGCGATTATTTTGTTAATTTTAACCAAAATCACAAAACATTTCGTTAAACCATTAATGTTGATCTTTTTTACCACAAATCATTATTTTAGCATTTAAATGTCTTAATGCCCTCATAATTGAGTGACTTCGGACTCGTTAAATTTCATTTATTGAGACACTCGACTTGACTATAGCCATGACAATTTTTTAGTTCATTAAAATTTTCAATTAATACTTCAAAGCTTTCAATAAAAATTCAAGTGCTTGACTCAAGCTTACTTGATCCAGCATCATATTATTTTACATGCCATCATTGGACTTATATTATCGAGATGTTCAGTTTGATTATAAAATAACTAAAATTGGAGCTTCAACAATCTTAAATTTAATTGAGAATTGTTTTTATCCACTATGAGTTAGCATGTTTTTTTTATTTCATATTATGTTCAAGCCTCCTATGCTTCATTTTTCTCACATTTTATTGCAAACATGCAAAATTGTGAGTTTTAGCCCATTTTGAGGTCAGTACTTAATGAAAAATGCCACAACATCCAGCCTCACAAAAATCGCTAGAACTTTGCTTTCATACCTCTGATTTGCTATTAGGACCCCATTCCAGAAAGATAATCAAAAGATGAAGGTCATGGCAAAGTCGCAATATAACATCACGACACTGTAAATTTTTTACAATCTCGAGAGCATTGTTTGATTGAATAGTTGTTAGCGCCCATCAGCGATGTAATTCATGGTGTCACGACACCCCACCAAAAATATCAGGTTTTGAGCTGCAAACTCTATCTTGTCAGCTAATATGACAACTGTCATGTTCGTGGTGCCAAGGCATCATAAGTGATGTCGCAACACCAAAGCCTTTTTTTTTCCTTTAAAAGGGGCAGTCTTAGGTTTTCCTTAGGGTTGAGAATTTTAATTTCAATCACCCCTTTGATCTCTCAAGGTTATAAATGAAGAGTTTTTCCCCCTTTGCATAGTGTAAGCTTCTCTCTTTCATTATTTTTTTTATATGTTGAGTTTTCTCATTAGGATTTTTAAAGTGTGATTTTCCATCCACACCTCTTCTCTAAACCCTCCTCATTCCAGGTTTTGGTCCGTGAACTTCCCTCCACATCTCATCTTCGAACCCTTCTTGTTCTGAAGCCACATTTGATGGTGTTTCCATAGTTGAATGTGATGTTTTATGACTGAATGAGTTCAAGAAGCCATTTCTAGACTTATTGTGTTGAGGGACTTTGTCAACCTTAGCATAGGTGAGGTCTCGATAAACATTGGTGTTATTCGCTCTTCCAATAGCCCCTAGGCCTTGTGTTAGAGGTTAGGATCAGGATGTTGTTAGAGCAAGCATTTATAAATTTCATATGTTTTTAAAGTGAATCGAGTGGCTAACCCCCTGTATTTTTTCCCTAGCATTATGTCCCTGCCTTTGGGCACTATGACACCATATCCTTATTTTATGCCTAACGTATAAGCACCAGATTTTGGCGCTTAGGCACCATACCCATATCAGATAGCATTGTGATCGTGTTTCAACAAAAACATGACGCCATCCTATTGTAGGTCTGCTCAACATCGTGACATTGCCTATCAACGTTGCAGTGTCATACCATGCTTTTTGGCCAAAAGGCTGCGACACTGCTTTCAAAATTGTGGCCTTACTAGACCTTAGGTTTGTTTGACCCAAAATCACAATGGTGTTTTTTGATGTTAAGGCCCCGAGTCTTAGGCCCTTTAAATCGATAATTTGTGAGCTATTTCTAGCCTATGGGCCTTAGGTCTTAAATATTTTTGGCATGTCGTTGAGGACCTCCTAAGATTTTTCTTTCTCAATGACGTATTGCCAGTGCACCTCTTTTGCTACATCTCAAAGACTACGAGTTACCTTACCAATTAGTCGGGTTTAACTTAGTCAAACAATTGTTGGCCTCTTAATTTTTATAGGTTGAGGTAAGCCTCATTTTTTTTTACCCACGGGTCGTTGGTACACCCTTCTATATGGGTGGTGACGATTTTTTTAAACTTTTCAATCATGCTTTTAAGCCAAGTTCGGTGTTTTCTAATGATCGGGTCCTCGATCATTATAGATCGTTGACCTAGGGACTAGCTCTCCTGAATCATTGGTACATCCTTTCACATGAGTGGCAGTTCTTTGGTCCGACTAATAAGTTGGACTTATAACAATCTTATCATTACTAACTAGGTCATTATAAGTTAATTTCACATCTTTCTTTTCATGTTTATCCATTTAAACCACCAAATGATGCATGTAGAAAAATGCTAAAGCTTTGCCTACCACTACTCAAAAGTAGATGTCTGTATATAGAGTTTTTGAGCATCAACACATTCTTTGCATTAGTCTGAGGACCAAAAAGACTGACACCTAGGCACCGCATTCTACGCGCTTGACACCAGACACTTGGCCTCCAAATCAGACAGACTATACTGCAATTATGTCTCATGTCATTGCAACGTCATCCTTCCAATCCGACTGCTACATTTGTTTATATTTATGCATTCCCTTATATGTGCTTTTTTTTTTCTTTTTAACTTGCATTTTGCATGCCATTCCATATATTGTGTTTCATGCTTGTTATGTAGTTTTTTGCATTTTGTGTGATTTGTCACCTCTATATTTAAAGTCCTTTCTTAAATAGAATGTGGATACCCCAATATCGTCTATATAACGTCGTGATGTCAACCTTTTTTTTAGGTTGAATTTTATATGTGTTGTAAGACCCATTTTATGTTTGATTATGAGTCTACATTTGTTGCATTCATCACTTGTGTGATGCATGCATCACTTGTATGATGCATTTGTTACATTGTGATGTTTTTGTTGTGTCTTTCATATCATAATGACTTTATTATGTTGTGCTCGAGAAGCTTCGTTTCACGTGCACTTGATTTTCATATTATGCCTTTTTTATGCACTGGGTGTTTTATATTGTCCAAGTAAAACACTCATTTTCCTTCTATAGTTCTAGGTTGAATGAATCAACACATTAGTGGCTAGGCTTTAGCTACCCTTAAGATTGACTTTTGGTGGTAATAAAAAAATAAACATTGACTGTCGGTCTATCTAATTGGTTAATGTCAATTATCTTTGATGTGTGTCGGAATGTTCACAATGGTAGAGTAACGAATTTCATCTTAACATTAAATGAAAAATTAGTATACACTCAAGTAATTGAAGAGAAGCAAGCTGAAAGGGATACCTCAATTTATTTGCGGAAATCTTGGAAAGAAAAAAAAATTACTGAATCTAGCCCAGTTAGAATAATCCACTATAAATGATGAGTACATATGTTTACTCTTCTCTAAAATTAGGAAATATGGAATTATAAAACGACTATTGTAAATGTACAATAGTAGATCATCGATAATAGTCATAATTTGACTATAATTAATGTAGTTCTCGGTGATAATAGGTTGCAAGGGTCGTAATTAATTGCTATAAAGACAATAGTTCCTTGTGAATATTGTAAACGAAGGTCGTAGTGCGGCTTGTCGTATAAACCATATATGGAATCCATGGTAGTGGTTGGCAACGTGAGATATAGATGGTTACTTCTAAAAGTATTATTTTTATGCTCAGAAATTATTGTTCTCTCTAAAAGCCATTTTAGTGCTCAAAATTTCATGCCATGTGCTATATTTGGTTCACTATCAATATATGAATGACATGAAATATGCTTCCGTGGCTATAAGACAACTTTCTTGTATAAAAAGTTGTCCAAGTAAAATTTTTCAACGGATTGTCATTTCATAAAACTAACTTCACAATTGCATTCAAATCATTGAAATATTTCAGGTGAGCCCCTTTGTGTCCAAATTGGACTCCTTTTCTGACACAAACGAAAATTATGATTTTGCCTTTGAAATGAACTCAAATCAACTTCAAATTCAAAACATAGTCAAATTGACCTGAAAATATTAAAATCAATCAAATTAGAGCTCATCTAAAGTTTCATAAAAAATCTTATTTTTCTCTCTCCTCGGCAGGGCCTATACTTTGACTTGAATTTTCATGAGACGGGGACCACTTTGACCAAAAAATCACCACCATTGTGTTATCTTTATTTTTTATCTATCAAATGAGTCAATCAAACTCTCTAATACAAGTCTTAATATTTAGTACATAAGATTTGAACTATGAGAAAATAAATTGTAGAATATGTGATTCAAATTAATGTTCTTCAAGATATAAACCTAGGAAACCTTTTGAGAATGAGAGATTTATATACATAACAATCCCAATTTTATTATTTACATATGTATAACTTCATTGTTTCCAATGATGAGGTTTGGGCGATGACTAAGAGATCTAGAGGCAGCGGTAAGGTTGGACCTTTTGAGGTTATAGCAATAAGGGTAGGGAGGATTTTCATGAGTGAAGTTAAGCGATGACTTGGTTTATTGAAAATATCAATGTGAGCTTGATCCTGTGGTTTGCCATGAGGTCCGACTTTGAAGCTTGGAGGCAAAAAACTTCAAGGTTGGATTTTGTAAAGATGCAGAGAGGCCGGAGGGATTTAAAGATCGACGATGAGTTTCAGCTTCATAAGGTTGAAAAGAGGGCGATGGTGAGGTGAGTTCGATATTTGCAATTTGTTGGCCCTATGACATAAGAATTTAGGGGCGTTGAATTGGGTTTGTGGGCCAAATTCAGGTGTGACTCGAATTGACTCAACCAAAACTGCTTGATATGAATCCAACCCTAATATTAAACGGGTCATAAAGACAAATCCAAACACGACCCACATTCAGTCGGTAAACCCGAACTCGACACGTATAAACCACTTAAAGCAAGAAAAAAGATAGTTGCTCAAATCAAAATTTTGTCAATTTTGAGTCCATCTCGAGTTAGTTTTGGGTTGAAGAGTCAATTTCAAGTCGATTTAGTGTTGACGGGTCATTTTTGACTTGACGGGTTAGCCCAAACTTGACCTAAAAAATTCAACGAGTTATAATTTTTAACCCAAACCTGACCCAAATTTATCTAGGTGAATTCGAAACCTGATTTTTCGAGTCGGGTTCGGGTTGAGTTAGCGTGTTAGGTTAGTTTTTGGCACCCTTACACAAGATTAAAACATGTGTTATTCTTGGTTAAGCTTTTATATTTTGAATATTATATATGGCAAGGTCTCTAATTATGAAACTGAAATAACATATTGTATTTACTAATTTATGTTAATTGCTATTAATATTTAATTTAAAAATAAACAAACACATGAATAACTTGTTGAATCCTCCGTGTATCACACTCAAGAAATATAACATATGACATGAGAAAGAGAAATAGAGATAGAAATACACAATAATGAACAATAATAAATTTTTATTGTCACTCTTTTATCATAAAAGGGTTCATCAATTTATAAATGAGGGGGTACAATATGAGAAGTTGCATGTTTGCTTCTATTTTCTTGTGGATGTTACAAGGTATTTTTAGGTATTTTAAGTATGTGGGCCTTGTGGCTCTACCTCGTGGCTCGATCGACACAACTTGGTAGGCTTTAGTTCGATAAGACTTGATCGGGTTGTTATGTTGAGTTGGCGTAACCGGGCAATTGATCTTTATTTGATTTTGGGTCGACATGACTGTTTTGATTAGTCAGATGCTACCAACCGGCTAAGTTGGCTTGATTAGTGACTCTCGATCCTTAGATGAAGAGCTCCTGTCGACAGAAAAAAAAAAACTAAGCTATCGAACATATGTTGAACAACATAACCTGATAGAGAGCTCATTCTTTGACGTGGAAGTCCTCAGAGATGTTTGTGGGCTATTGTCAATCATTGACTTCTGATGAGGAACCTCAGGGGTGACTGATCCTACTGAATTCTTCTCAGTTGGATTGCGAGGATAGGCAGGTGGATGCATTTTCTCGACTCGATTAGTTTTAATCCTTGGTCCACATCCGATCGACCTCCAACCCCGATTCAAAAGGTTGCATCCGGTCAAATAAGTGAGTTATTTGGTTTTTCACCAGTGCCCTCTTTCTTTGTACTTCCTTTATTTTAAGATGCTAGATCACTTTAGGATCGTGGTGACATGTTTGTGATCAACAAAAATATATAAAGTGGGGGGTGGAATACATAAATTCATTTGTTGTATGTGATACATGTCTTAAAAAAATATGCTAAACTTTTATGTTTATTTTTCACCAAACATTGAATTAAAAAAATCTGAACGACTCCCACGGCCGAATTGATGGTCGAGATTGGGGCTATGGATTCTAGAAATTTCCTCCGGACAATCCTTTCCCCCGCGCCAAGAAATAAATACCTACCCGACGGCGCTCCGCCCATTAAAAAGAACTAGGGTTTTAGAGGTTTTGAGTTTTTCCAGAGCAGCTACATTAACCCTCTTTACTGCGAGCTGTCGGCATCTGAGACCGACTAAAACCCTTATGACGATTGTTTCGGGGCTCATCTCTAGATTGGCGAGATCTAGAACAACCGCCGCCGGCGTTTCATCCTTTCGCCATCGGGTTTGGCTTTCTCGTTATTATGCTTTTATTTTGCTTGTATTGTATCAGATAGTTGCCGTGACTATGTATGGTTCTGTGTTTATGTTTTTCTTATTTATTGAAGATGGCAAGGGATGATATGTTATGAAGCCCTAAACTTTCTACTTTGAGCCAATCGTTACTTTTGTTGTTGTGATTTGGATTCTTTTGCAGTTTAATTATTTTTCTTGTGGTTGTTATCTTTTGGTTTTCTATTTGTTGTTCTAGGAGTATTATTAAAGATATTGATTTTGTTTTTACGGTGGTTGCCAGCAAGAATTGACAGATGAACGACTCAGAAAGTTTATATATAAGGGTTATAAAACATCGGTTGTTTTGTATACGCTTCTTTTTTTTTGAAAATGATGGAGCCTATTTACATACATGGCGCCTAAAAGTTTGGGATTTACATACTCGACTGTCAATGTTTTCTTTTACGCCTCCAAGAACTGGCACTGTCACACTTGGGGAATTAACACTATTGCACTTGGGGAATCAACATTGTCGCATTTGGGGAATTGATGCCGCTTGGAAAACTGGCATTGCCGGAGATTAAAATTAATAATTTAGTTAACGATCGCCAATGATTTATGGGACGTATCAGCACTCGATAGGGATAAGCTTCGTGTGGGGTGTGTGAACGATCGTCTTGCGCCCAAAGTGCAATGTAAACACCCGACATCGACAAACTCTGTGTGGGGTATCTAACGATTGCCCGTGGCCTATGAGATTTTTCAACACCCGAAAGTGACAAGCTTTGCGAGGGGGTGTGAGAACGATCGTCAACAACTAAAACTACAATGTTAAGACTCGACAACTACAAGCGAGGAGTGTTTAATGATACCCTGTGGCATATTAGACATATTAGTATCCGATAATGACAAGTTTCATGAGAAGTCTGCAAACGATTGTCCTGTGCCCAAATTACAACCTTAGCACCTGACAATGACAAGTTTCGCAAGGGTCTCTAGCAATTGCCAAAAGCCTATGGGATGTATTAGCACCAGACAACGACAAACTTCACGAGAGTGTTTGCATGATCGTCTTATGCTCGAATTATAAGGTTAACACCCGACAACGACAAGCTCCACGCGGGTTGCATGAACGATTGTCCTGTGCTCGAATTTAATGATCAACACCCAACAACGACAAGCTTCACAAAGGGCGTCTAACGATCGTCAGAGGCCTATGGAACGTACAGACACCCAACAACAACAAGCTCCATTGGGGTTGCATAAACGATCATCTTGCGCTTGAATCATAAATATTATACATGACACCGACAATATCTACGAAGGGTGTCCAATGATCATCATAGGCCTATAAAACATATCAATATCAAACAACAACAAACTCCGCAAAAGGTGTGCAAACGATCATCTTGCTCCCGAAAATAACTAACTCTGCGAGAGTTATGACAGTTGCCTATAAGAAGCAGGTCAGAGCATTTCTAATGCGCATGGATGATATTCCCACACACTTGCCAATAAATCACAACGAGAAGAAAATTGTTCATGAACTAGAGCAATCATTGAATGCAAGAAAGAAAACTTGAAGTACTAAACCCTCTAGTTTAAAAAAATCCCTTGCACGATAATCTATGTTTACAGAAACTAAATTACAAATTTTTTATACAAGCACGTGCAAACATTTAAAAAAATTGAAGCTAAAAAGAGATCGTTAGCTCTATACATTTGAGGATTCCCCAACTCTCTTCCTCGTTTTCTTCAGCTCGCTCGATGCCTCCCGATTTCCCATTCGATTATTTTTGTTCTTCACCTTCTAAATTTGAAAGCACCGTACCGAACTCCTTAATGTCCTGCCACTTAGAATCGACTAGTCTGTGCTTAACAAACCTTTCTACAACAAAAGATATGCCAAACACAATCTTACGGTAAAAGCCCTCAACATGCTCCTCTCAAGTAATCATAGATGAGACTTTTTTCAACTCTTCGTGTTCCTTAAGAAGAGTCTCATGTTCCTGAGCCTGAAACTCTCTCTGCTCTATAAATAGTTTAAGCCTTTCCTCAGCTATGGTGGCTCTTATCTTTAATTTTTCTATCCGCAAGACATCCCTCTCAATTTTCTTTTCAGCCTAATCCAAAAGAATCCCTAGAAAATACGAAACCTTCCATTCAAGAGCATGATAGTGTTAGATTGCCTGATACGCATCTTGTTTGTTCATCATTCTCAAATGCTTTTCGAACTTGAGATACCAAAACATCTCCATCAAGGCCGACAACAATCCCCATTCAAATAGGTAAAAGGGCACCACTCAGTCTGCTTATCAAGAATAGCGTAATGACTGCTCGTCCAAACTCCAGTCCCTCAGTTATAGAGAACAACCACTCAGATGGAATCCCTCCTCCTGGAGGAGGCAGCCTAGCTTATGAATCAGAAGTCTTTTATTTCCTCCGGTGAACGTCATCTTCCACTTTCTCGACATCTCCTGATTCTTCTCTCGGCTAGATCCCTATCGAGATTGGATGAGAAGAGCTACTTGCCTCCGCTCGATCGTACAAACCTACGAACGAAGTCCCACTAGGAGTCACAGTTAAAACCCCACCGATCGAGGGAGGGGTTGGAGAAACCCAAAATTCGATGCGCCGAGAGTTTCGAAGACATTCTTGCCGCTCCCTTTAAATAACACAACAAAACATTATAAGCACATACTTATACATGCAAGCAACTAAAATGAAGAAATTTTTTTTACCTTCAATACCATCTTTGTTCGAATCAAGGGGGCAAATCGACCCTCATCTCTTTCTAGGAAGGAAAAATCGCTTTTTCCCTGTTGTTTTCTCTAAGTCGCCCTTTTCTCGATGACCTCTCTCTGTCGATTTCCCGAGGGTCGAATAATGCCCACAACCCTTCGGTTATGTTTTCGCTACCGTCAGGCCAAATTGTACGCTTTATCAAGTTTGGATCAAGGTTTTGAAACAACGAGAGATGCTAACCCTCGTTCAATGTCCTGTGATCACTGAGATTACCAGAAAATGTCTTCACTTTATTTACATTACATTCCATCGGAGTGGTGCTGATCATCCATCCACTTGTGCAAGAATTTACTAGGAATTTTGTTTTTCAATCTTTTATCTTATTCTCAAGACCCACCAGATGGATATTGGGACCGACTACAAGTTGAACATAGTTGTCCTTGCCGATTTGAAAGGAGAATAAATGTTTGAATAGTTCGATCGACCATGTGATCCTCATCCTTCGATAAAAGAGGACTAGTCTCATTATAGATGCCATAGAGTTGGGAAGAACTTGGGCCTGAACAATCCCGTATTGTTCGAAAATCGATCGTAATTCCTTACAGATTGACAATCAAAAACCCATTTTAAACTAATCTTTATATAAAATAAAGCAGGAAAAAAATGACTCATAGCCCGCTCGTGATTGGCTACGGGCTGAAGTTAGATAGAAGGGTCGAGAACGTAAAAAACTTTGAATCTCTCTCACCTCCGTTGTGGAAAGAATCGAGACTTCCAAAGGTGGAATCGTTCTAAATGATTCTCGGGAAAACTTCTGCGCCATACGTTCCGTAGAGAGGGAAGAAGTGGAATGAAGAAAATTGAAAACTTGTAGAAATAAAGATCTCAACACCCAAAACTTGTGCACAGTTGCGCACGCACGCTCACACACACACACACACAGAGATATATATATATATATATATATATATACACACACACGACGCAGTACTCGAGGAAAAATAATCATTATTAACAATAAAAATATTTTATTTATTACCTAAGTAAGCGGTTGTTTGCGGCTTCGTTCGAGACATCCTCGATGATGTAGCCGCTCATAGATAAATTCACTACCCAGCTTTCGGCGAAACATTCTGTAACGAATGATAGATGCTGACACAGCAGCATCAGCTTCCCACGATCAACCAACATATCTCCTCAAAAAGCAACAACTTTTCATGAAGTGTAGCAACTTCTTGTTCCAGTCGGTCGACTCTTTTTAGGACCTCGACAACTCCCTCATCAGTATCCCCCCGAGGTTTTACCAAGAGACGAAGAAAGTGCACCTCCATTTTAGCAAGGAGACACATCAGAGTATCAATAAATACCTGATGCCCTCTAGATACCTCCTACTTCGCCGGAAAAAAACTTGGCAGCCCCCAAATACCTCCTCCCCCATTCTCTGAGCTATAACGTCGACATTCACAGTGCCCTGCTCCATAGTTCCCTATTCCGTAGCAGCCCGCTCCATAGCATCCACTCGCCCCTCCGTGGCTTGATTAACGGTGGCCGCATCGCCCTCAGGGTTGGCATCGGTGTTTGATGAGATGGAAACGATCGTTAGAGCTCTGACGACTGCAAAAGAAATAATTAAAGGCATGATTTCAAGCTACGTACCCAAAATTTGACACTATTCAAAACTGGTGTAAGAGACAAGGTGATCACCGATTTCTTCTAATCCTCCACCCTCGGAGGAAAGGCCATCCTTTCGCAATTGAAATTGTGTTCCAGCTTCAGTCGACGCCTTCACGAGCCTCTGTGGAGTTATAGGCCCCACAGGAGTCTGAACTGACATTTCTCCTCTTTGAGGAGTCACAGCTTCATGGGGAATGTGTTCTTTGGCGGGGTGATGTTGTAGTGTGATTGTTTTAGTCTTCCCGATCAAAGTGCCTGCTTGGATAGAAGTAGCGTTTAGTAAATTCTATTCATGGGTAGGATTTAATAGAATGTAGTAAAATCTGAGGGTAGAACCGTTAGTTGCTTAATTATTAAATTAACTGAATTTGTGAATCGTTTAGTTGCTGATTCGAAGCTTTGATGGATTTGAATAGATTTTGAAAATCCTACCGAAGTTATTTTCTTAAACTTCCCCGCTCCTTCAGGATTTGAAAAACCTCTGGTTTAACCCAAGGTTTATGAAATTTGCTAAATCTAATATTGTTTCCTGATGGATTTAAAGTCATCATATCTGGTTTTTTTTGCAATATTTATGTCAATTTTTTAACTTCTACATCTGTTAGACAACCAAACAGCTTTTTTGCTGAACCTTAAACCCTAGATCTCATGGTTTGGACTAAAGTCCTTAACCTGAAGGTGAACCGGCACATTAAGGGTGTAGTTGGGGCAGCTTGTGCGTTTCAAGATAAGCAGCTTATCCTGAAACGCGGCCCCCGCGGCCCGCGGCTTGCGTTTAGTGTAAAAATAGAACCGCGTTTCCAGATAAGCAGACAAAACATGCGATTCAAACGGTGCCGCGGCGTTTTTGTTTTCAAAAACACCCCCACACTTATAAGCTGTCCCAAACGGGCCCTAAATGTTGCTTTCTCATGTTTTGTTTGAGATGGTACATGTACTTGCATAATGTAGGAACAACTTGCATTTATTGTATCGTTATTGTGGTTGAATTGAACTTGGCAAAATAGCACACAAGTGCGGCTGATTTGCATATTTGCAAATTTGTCATTGAGTTATGGCCAAGCTGAATTTTGGCAAAAATGTATATTTCCATAATTTTTTGGTTAAGTTTCTATGTTTGTATTTTCGTTGTATGTTTTTTTATTAGCACTTTCTGCAAGAATTAAGTTCTAATGAATGAAAGATTGTTTGAATTCCATTTGCTTTTAAAAGTTTTTATTACTGTTGTTGAATTTATATTGCTGTCGGACTAATGTCGTTTGAATTCCATTTGCTTTTAAAAGTTTTTATAACAGTTCTGGAATTTACATTGCCGTTGGATTATGTCTTCCGAGCAAGTTTAGCCTATATAAGTATAGAAGTTTTGTCTATGAATGCAGAGATGTTTTCTTTTGTGTGCCTGCTACTTTTGGAGATGATTCAGTAGAGAAAATAATGGAATTTCTATGGGATTATTTGTGCATCAATAGTGTGTAGCGTAAAGAAAGAATTTTATTTGTATTTCCCATGTCTAATTGCTTTTATTATTTCTGTAAATTAATAATAATAATAATAATTATTATTATTTGGCTTAGTTGTACCATTGCATGCACTGTAGATCTTGTTATTAGTCCTTTAGAGTTGGATCTTTTTGTGCTTACATCTTTCTCGATTTTGATAATATTAAATATTATGAAATAACAAGGTTGGATTTTCCTAAATTTAAATGGATAAATATGCATGTCTTTTTGTTTAGTAATATCCAGTTATTTTCCTTAATATTTCCCAATAAATTCATGTTTGATATGTTAACACTATTTTTATGATCAGGCATCGTATCAAACTCCTTTGTATCAGAAATATACAGCATTGGCAAGAACCTTTAGGTAGAGTATTGTTGCTCCCATATATTTTTTTTTAATATATGTTTCCAAATTTGGTAACATATGGCTCTATTCAATGTTTTATTGTATTTTAGCTCGAAGCCCGTTGGAAATGATGTCATCGGTATAGATTTGGGGACCACTAACTCATGCATCGCTGTAATGGAAGGCAAGGTATGCATCTAATAACCCTTTTCTACAGATCAGTATCTCTCTACTTATATTCACTTCAACTAAGAACTCGTAAAATGTCCGAACGATAGCAATTTCTGCAATTTTTTATCGAAAAATTTTCTTTTTTGATTATCCACTACAGACCCCAAGGGTGATTGAGAATGCTGAAGGAGCCAGAACAACTCCATCGGTTGTGGCTATCAACCCGAAGGGTGAACTTCTTGTTGGCACTCCGGCAAAGCGTCAAGCAGTCACAAACCCCACAAATACTTTATTTGGCACGAAGCGATTAATTGGAAGAAGATATGATGATCCTCAGACTCAGAAAGAACTGAAAATGGTTCCATACCGAATCGTCAAGGCTCCAAATGGAGATGCTTGGGTGGAGATGAATGGCCAGCAGTATTCTCCGAGTCAGATTGGCGCATTTGTTCTAACCAAGATGAAAGAAACCGCTGAGGCTTATCTTGGTAAATCAGTTTCAAAAGCCGTGATCACCGTTCCTGCTTATTTTAATGATGCGCAGCGACAGGCGACAAAAGATGCTGGAAGAATTGCTGGATTGGATGTTCTCCGGATCATCAATGAGCCGACTGCTGCGGCGCTGTCCTATGGGATGAACAATAAAGAGGGGTTGATTGCTGTGTTTGATCTTGGCGGTGGCACCTTTGATGTCTCAGTCCTTGAGATTTCCAATGGTGTTTTCGAAGTAGGTTATTTGCATTACTGGCAAAGTGTCAAAGTAGCCGCTTTTATTTAGATGGATCATTTTTTTTAAAGAGGTTCTAAAATTGCTACATTCGTCCCAGATTGTTTTAAATGTGGGCTAAAATAACACTCATTGGAATTATTTTAAACCATATTAAAATAATCTGGGAATTAAATTCACACTTTTATAAAATATGTGATTAAAATGGCAGGCCTAAAGGATCAATTTTGACACTTTTCTTAACATGCTTTTTTTATGTGCAAATCATGAATTTTATCGATTAAATTTTTGTCTCCAGGTGAAGGCTACTAATGGAGATACATTCCTTGGTGGTGAGGATTTTGATAGCGCACTGCTGGACTATTTGGTCAGCGAGTTTAAGAGAACAGATAACATTGATCTAACCAAGGACAAACTTGCCCTCCAGAGGCTTAGAGAAGCTGCGGAAAAGGCTAAGGTGGAACTCTCATCCACCGCGCAAACAGAGATTAATCTTCCCTTCATCACCGCCGATGCCTCCGGTGCGAAGCACTTCAATCTCACCTTAACTCGATCAAAGTTTGAAACTTTGGTCAATCATTTGATCGAAAGAACCCGAATCCCTTGCAAGAACTGCTTGAAGGATGCCGGAATTGCTGCGAAGGATGTCGACGAAGTGCTTTTGGTCGGCGGCATGACCAGGGTGCCGAAGGTGCAGCAGATCGTGTCGGAGATCTTCGGGAAAAGTCCTAGCAAGGGGGTGAACCCGGATGAAGCGGTGGCCATGGGAGCTGCTCTACAAGGAGGAATACTGAAAGGAGATGTCAAGGAACTCCTGTTGCTCGACGTCACACCTCTCTCTCTTGGCCTTGAGACCCTCGGAGGGATATTCACCCGCCTCATCAACCGGAACACAACCATACCCACCAAGAAAAGCCAAGTCTTCTCGACTGCAGCTGATAACCAAACTCAGGTTGGTGTTCGTGTGCTGCAGGGAGAGCGAGAAATGGCTGTGGATAACAAACTTCTCGGGGAATTCGAGCTCACTGGCATCCCTCCTGCTCCGAGGGGAATGCCTCAAATCGAGGTGACTTTTGATATTGATGCTAATGGCATCGTGAAGGTCTCTGCGAAGGATAAGGCGACGGGAAAAGAGCAGGAGATCACCATCAAGTCCTCTGGCGGGCTGTCGGAGGATGAGATTGATAAGATGGTAAGGGAGGCAGAGCTTCACCAGCAGAAGGATCAGGAGAGAAAGGCCTTGATTGATGTAAAAAATAGTGCTGATACCACCATATACAGCATTGAGAAGAGTCTGGCTGAGTTCAGAGAGAAGATTCCGGCGGACGTGGTGAGGGAGATTGAGGCAGCTGTGGCGGATTTGAGGGGAAGTTTGGGGGAGAATAATGTTGATGTGATTAAGGAGAAGATTGCGGCTGCTAACAAGGCGGTGTCGAAGATCGGTCAGCACATGCAGGGTGGAGGATCGTCATCGTCGGGGTCGGACGGAGGTGATCAGACTCCTGAGGCTGAATTCAAGGAGGCTAAGATGTAGATTTGTAATTCAGTTTTGCTGCATTTGATGCATTATGCTCTCTTATTTATGACATTTTATTTTTACAATTGATGAGCTTTTTGCTTTTGAGGTCGGGGATGTTTACCGTAAGATGGGATTCTGATGTGCTATTTTTGGATTTGATGGTAGGGATTTTTTCTAAGAAAGGGGGCACTATTTCATGTTTGTGTGTAATATTGAAATATAAATTTATACAAATGCTTGCTGATCGTTGTGTGAATGCATTGAAAAGTTGAATGTCAATTTTTAGCTATTAGGGGTAGATAAAATATTAAGTTACAAGTAAAATGATGGCTTGGAAAAAATAGGGGTAGAGCAATGAATTATGAGTTTGTAATGTTCAAATGGCAAATATTTCGATAAAGTGATATTTGTTAAATTATGAAGGCATCATTTATATGAAATGTAGTCTTGCGAAATCTTACAACTTGCATCTATAAAATAGAATCATTTAAATTAAATTATGTAATTTTTTCCTCTTTGAAATTTCCACATAAAAAAACCCTAAAAATCTTGGACTTCTTGGTTTATCTGTTGAGCTCATTGTGAGACACTGAGATGATAGACTTCAGCAATCACTGAATTATTTTTGCAACAATCATAATTGGTCAAGTGATCTTATTTTGGAGCAAAGAAAGTCTCTCTCACTTCATTTATTGATGTTAAGTTTAAGTCATGCATCTACTTAAATATTGAGCAAGTGTATATATATATATATATATAGTGCATTAATTTTCATTATGATTAAATAAGAAATAGTTAATAGAAAATTATAATTACTCATATTTCCTATATAAATTCAATAACACGTTGAAACCAACACCCAACATGAAATTAGTGTTCTTATTAAAATTGATCGATCAAATTAACTAAGGAAAGAAATTGACATTATTCATGGAGCAGGAAACATGACAATTAAAAAAAAAAAAAAACACTCGCAAAAAAATACTATCATTTTTAACAAAACATTTATCATCAAGCAGTGCAGAAATGTAGCTTCACACCAAGATTTGCCAAAAAATAGAAATAGAATATCATGCTAGCAACATTTTACAAGAAAGCCTCAGAAGTCCTGTAAAATAAGGTTCAGAACCAAGCATCAAACAAGACAAGGATTCCTATCACAGAACATTACAGAAATTGTTGTTAAAATAAGATGAAATAAAAAATTAAAAAAATCTAAAGAAACTGCTCCTTTATTACTTTTCTATAAAACAAACCTTCTGTAACATATGCAGCATAAAATATACATTGAAATTGGACACTCCGCAAGTTCGACAATTCATAAAAAGGGAAACATATTCCTTCTGCAGAGATTCACAAACCACATTATATAGTGAGAGAAAAAAAAAAAAAGAGATTAAAAACTAACTCTTCCCAGCCAAAAATAAAAATGCTTACCACAATAAATTTTATAAATAAATGCCAGTTTACAGAAATGTGCTGCACATTATCTTGATGGCTTCATTTGTTGTACTTCAAACGGCTGATAAGCTTGCCAATTTTCCTAGTTCGTAAGGATCGGCGTAGTAATATAATTTTATTCTGTTTGACAATGATAATCCGGAGGCCAAAGGCGAGCCTTTTTGATTCGGGTCATCCTGATCGGGTATATCATCTCTGAAGGCAGCAACATCTCCAAGGAGCCTGAATGTAATTCGGCATGCTTGTATTTGCCGCGGAAAGTCGAAGTAAATCGGTGTCCCGCCTTTAACCTCGGGTAGCCGATACTCTCCAACGTTAACATAGTTTCTTGGTTCCTTGGGGGGTGGGGGAAAGAAAAGATGTATTCACAAAATTAAAGCTTTCGAGCACAAAAAAATGTGAAAATGGATAAGTTCATTTTATAGACGCTTCATAAAAAGTTCTTTTATCTCAGAACTCATGCAAAGAACTTGCAATGATGGCTACAGTATTGAATAAATTGCTCATAATTAACCCAAAAAAAAAAAAAATCTACTGGTTTTATAATTTTCAATTAATTGATGTCGGTTGCTTCATTCATTCTAAGTTTAACACAAACTTCAGCCCTTACCAAAACTTAAGCTTTATTGTCAATATAGAACTTCAATCAATATTTTTTAACTTCTCCAACTATAACACTACAATGTTAAGAAACATATTATGTAAATATTATTGATATCCATGAAATCATTAGCAGAACCTATCTATCATCATAGATGATATTATATCATCTCAACTTCATCTTAAAATTCTAAATCAATCTTCAGTTAATGAGATGAACTCGCAAGGCATCTATCCCTGATTTGCAAGATTCACCATATTATTGGCAAATTATGGATGATTCTTCCTGTTTTGCTTCAACCCTCACCTTGGCCTTTTACTATTATATATCTTCATCTTTTACTTCAGACAATTAGTGAAGTTCCTGAATAAATTTCATCAAAGGGTTATATGAAATCATTTATGCATTAAATGGTTGAAATATAATCCAACCCGGGAGGGATCGTGAGTGCTGCTATTGCCATGGATGGCTGTAAATGTTGCAAAAGACCCAAATATGTGCTGAAAGGGGACTTGATTTAAAATGAGCGACCAAAATGTAGGTATTAATTCAATAGCACTAAGAAGACAAAAGATAAAAAAAATGAGAGGTTTCAGATATAACTCCACGGTAAAGGTGATAAGGTGCAAATAATCAGTCCTCTCGATTTAAATACCTGAATAGCAGAAACTTGCATGTACAGGATAGCAGGGTTTACGTGTCGGTCTTCTAATCCTGTTAGTGAGGAATCCCACATATCCACGTCTGAAGAAAAAGGTGAATGGGCAATTCGAGGTCTTATGACACTGAAAGCATCCAATCGAAATCCAGCTAATGCAGGTGCAGCAGGAGATAAGTACAGCTCAAGGACAAGGTCATTATATGTTAACCTTTCAGATTCGATTGGAACCTAAAATAAGGGAATTAGTCCATAACTAGAAATATATTTATGACAAGTTATTCGAGAAAGCAACATACTCTGAATCGGCCCAATTGTGGAAAATTATCTAATGAAATTTTCATTTTCATTAGGTCCGAGTTCTGCGAAATGTCCTGATTCTCTCTTTTTACAGAGCTGCCAAATACTATAAGCCTCTTTGCATGGATACATGCATCGCTTGCTACTGTCCCAACAGAGGAGTTATTGGGCCTGCTTGTAGCAAAAGGATTTTCATCAAAAGAAAAAAGGTCAAAATCTTCCTTCATGTTGGCTGAAAATCCTGACTTAGCCAGACTTAGCTCTATCCAGATGATTCTGCAACGGACAGGGTTACGAAAGAGAAACTTTAAATGCCTTGGAATATTACTATCGCGTTGAGATTTTTCAGGCCCATAAACATCTGGAAATGAAGATATTAGGGAGTGGACATCCCATTTTCCCATGTAAGAGCGCTCATCCTTATGTATTTTATTGCTTGCCCATATTTGTACCTGTATACCAATGAGAAATAAAATCTCCAACATGAAATATTATACGGATTTTGAAATATGATAATGATACCAACGTAATAAAAGAGTATGAGATGACATGAAAAAAACGAAAAGAAAATGATATCAGTGCAGAAGGAAAGAAGGGTATAAACAGATAGCATAAACTAAGCTAATGATCTAATAAAATTTACCGATAGAATCAAGAATAACTTTAAAAAAAAAAATCACCCATATTAGTTATACCAAGTTAATGAGGTGCCATTAGCAATTCAGGCTTGAGTTGAAAAAACCATAATCGACATTGGACAAAAAAAAGTAATGTTTTTCCCAAAGATGAACTACGAAGATCATAGTATTGCTACACAACAAATGCACACATGCCCAGGACAAGGTCCTCTCAGGGAGAAAGGAATGAATTAGAATGAAAACTTTTGTTTCTATCGTAGAACAACATAACAAGAGAAGTGAGCAGGGAGAGCAAGAGGGATATCAAGCGAGGAATGAAATTATGAGCTTCTGCCGGCAAATGGCATTTCAATTGACAGTTGCAAAAAATAATTAGAATTCCATATAAGCATCAACATTTCAGGCTTCAAAATATTTTAAGTCATTCTTAAAACCAAAAAAAAAAAAAAAAAAAAAGAAAATTGGATAATTTTTACAATCTACTTGAATACAAGCACAAATGCTACATAAGAAGTAAATTCTGACGCTATATGCTTACGGTAGGACAATCTGACGTAGAATAACCACATGAGCTGACAACCAAGATAACGCCAGAGACATCAGATAAACTTCCAAGAACAATAGAAAATTCAACAGTGCGAGAACTTTGGGGAGCTCTCCAATAAGAAGATTGCTCTCCCACACCAAGTGGCGCAAGTAATGAAATTAATGGTTGTGGCGAGCCAACTGCTGTTTCCACCTGTAACAAGCAAACTTATTTCATTGAGCTTCAAAAAAAGAGAAGGGGGGTGGGGGCGAGGGCATTTACCTACATACCACCCAATTAATATGTATTTGCCTACCTGACACCTAATCTTTGCTTTTTACATTTATGCCAGCCAAATCTTTCATAGAACATAAAAAAAAAAAAAAAAAAACCACTTATTAACTTCTAAAAAGCAACATACACATTTTCATGCAAACATAAGGTGGCAGATACGTAAAATATAAAGTTTAGGTGTAAGATATATAAATGAATAGGAATTAGGTGGTATGCATGTAAATCTTCCAAAAAAAATCAACATCAGATCAAGTAGTGCTACCGTGTATAATAGATCAGCATAAGGAAATTCAGCAAGCGATTCCTCTCCATCTAGTAGTTTCTTTAATTGCTTCTTGGAAAATTCCTTATCCTGCCAAAAATCTGATGTCATGCTGACTTCAGGCCCAAGAACATGGCTAAGGGCATTAACTGCAGCATCATCTGCCCGAGTTCTTCTACGTAAGCCTGCCAATACCCTCAAATAATCCACATATAATGCCGCAAGTATTACTTCATCACAACAGGATTTACATATAACCCCACCCAAAGAAGATGAAAGTTGAGTGGAAGCCCCTTCACTCTGCCAACTAAGACTCGATCCACTTTGGCCTAATGAACTACCATATATTTTCAAATCTTTATAAGTACTTATAAGCAAACTAGCACCCCGTCCGGCACAGCAAAATTTACAAACCTTTCTTTCACATTCCGCACAGACAAATAATCGAGACAAGTTTTTACTTGAAACGGTAGAAGATACCTTCTCCAAAGTTTGATTCTCCATTCGAACTTCACAATTGGTGCCAATGCAGGTATCTCCAACTTCTCCAATGTTCCAGAAATCTATTTCATTATTATCTTCTATCTCAAGACCAATGGAAGCATTAATCTTATCTTCAAATGTGGTCTGTCCTAATATTGCTAGACAGTCTGCATAGTTGCATAATTTTGACATATAGAGCTCATCAATTAAACGATTTGGATCTATCATTGCAGGATCAATGCTTATCGCTAATAAAGCTCTATCCCTTTCGGCAGCAGAGATGCCCAGTTGAAGTCGGGCAATTTCAAGCTTTAAAGCTTGCAGAAAATCAAGAGCCCTTCCCTGAAATGTTTGTGTTTAGACTAAGGAATTGAGAAATGAGATAAATATTGTTGTTCATAGGAAACAAAATTTAAAAGCTATTAAAAAAGAGATGAGAATGCATAAATAACCAAGTACAGGCCCTGAACAAAAGCATCAAAGTCAATGGAGACAGGAAATGATCTAAATGTACACACTGAGATCATCATATCAGTCACAACAACAGCAATGGCTTCAATAGACTCATCCCAACAACTTTGGTTCAGACACATAAACCCTTACTTCATAACTCATTCTGATAAAGAACTCTACATGGTGCAAGTTCTGCTTTCTGCAATTTTTTTTTTTTTTTGGCAAATTGAACATAAAAGCATTGGCTTTTTTCCTAACCAATGAACTTCGTAATCCTTTCAATATTATCTCTATTTACCACGCTATATCGTAACTATCAGGTGGTGCATGCGCTAAACCTTAACAAGCCCAAACAAGCGCAGTATATTTTTTGCCGACAAATCCTTCCTTGGTGTCACTCACAATCTTCTGTAGTTACTGAAGGAATTCAACGGAATAACTTTATTGATATAACAAGGATATAAATATAGGATACAATAATTATAAAATAGATAAGATATAACATACAAATCTCTAGGATTAAATTAACTCCTAATAACTACCTAGAGATAAAAATAGTCATAAACAAGGAAATACATAAATTAGGACATATCTGGAAATAAAAGAAACAAATACTAATAACTTCCAACACTCCTCCTCAAGTTGAAACATAGATGTCAATCAAGTTCAACTTAGATTTGAAATCGTCAAACAACGAGCGAGGAAGATTATTAGTGAGAAAATCAGCCAGTTGACTAGTAGATGGAATAAATGGAACACAAATCTCCCCAGAATCAAGTTTCTCCTTGATAAAATCTTAATAAAGTGACTGTCAATCTCCAAGTGATTGGTACGGTTATGTTGAACCGAATTATGAGCAATGTTAACGTCACTTTATTATCACAAAACAACCGCAAATGAACAGTGACCGACATATATAACACGTTGAGTATAATGCATAACCAGAGGACTTCACATACCCCTAAAGCCATAGAGTGAAATTCGACTTCTGCACTACAACGAACAAATACGAATTTTTTTTTACTTTTCAAAGTGACAAAACTCCCCCATACAAATGAGCAATAATTTGAGGTGTGGATCATCTATCATGGACGAACACGACCCAATCAGCATCCGCATAACCCAAACAGCAGAATTGGCACGAGTGAAGAACAAACCTGAGCCCGATGTTCATTTTAGATAGTGGAGGATTTGATGAACTGCGGTGAGATGGTGCTCGTAGGGGGGGTCATGCATAAATTGACTGACGATAGATAGATGAACTTACCCACGAGGGGTTGGTAGGATTTACTAAAACGACATTGGAAATATCCAATAATTTCTCATTTGGGTCCATTGGGACAACAACCAATTTGTAAAGAAGAGTGTTGGTCTCAGATAATAGGTACGTCACATATTTACGCTGGGAAAGACAAATGCCCCAAAAAGACTGGGCTACTTCCATGTCTAAGAAATACTGCAGAAACCCCAAGTCTTTCATTTCAAAAGATGTAGTGAGAATGCCTTTGAGTGACTCCAAGGCTAACCGATCATTACCTGTGAGCACAATGTTGTTGACATAGACGATGAGGATGACAATACGACCATTGGATGAAGGTCGAAAAAATAGTGTATGATCATATTGGGCCAGAGAGAACCCATGACCCAATACCACTTGCGTGAAATTGTCAAACCAGGCTGGTGGGGATTGCTTCAGTTCATAGAGGGACTTCCGTAATCAACACAATTGTCCACGCGAATAGGCCGAGTCAAAACCCCAAGGGGAGGCATATAAAACTTTTCAATGAGAACGCCATTAAGGAAAGTATTCTTGGCATCCAACTTCAATAAGGGCCAATCTAGATTCACGGTTAGTGATAATAGAACCCGAATGGTATTGAGTTTGACAACCCGAACAAATGTCTCCTCATAGTCAACTCCATACGTTTGAGAATATCCTTTGGCGACTAGCCGTGCCTTGTTCGGTTCAAATGAACTATCAGAGTTAAATTTGGTGTTGAAGATCCATCAACACCCCACGAGTTTCTCTCTCAGGAAAGATCGACCGCATCCAAAGTATGGTTGCACTGAAGAGCATTCATCTCGTCCATGACAACAGTCTTTCAAGATTGGTCAACTTAAGCCGTTTCTATGATGGATGCGAGACCACGATCAGTCACAAAAGTAGCAAATTCTTTGTAGTTTAAAGAACGGTTGTGGAACGACACATATTTTGCCATGGCATACAGAGTTTCCGACAGTATTTGTTTGCACACCCCAATAGGGAGATTGACATCTTCACTCGGATTAGGGGTGACCCCCGTAGGAGGAGAAGACATCTTTTCAGAGATGTCGACTGGAGAGGATTCCAAAGCCTGCAGCGAAGCAACGGGCTTGACGATAGGGGCATTAGAACGAGTTTCAATAAAGGGTTTTGGATGTAAGGTATAGACCCGGATAGCGGGTTGGAGTGAAGTTGGCCTAGCTGATGGTGAATCCATTGGTGCTGAAGGTGCAACAAAAATCGTGGTTGTAGGAGTGTCTAACAGAGTCAAAAGAGGAACAATGTCCACAAAATAAACCCCCCCTCACTTGAGGTAGTGTTAGGGAAGAAGGGGTCATTTTCAAAAAGAGAGATATCGACACTAACATAGATTTTATTAGTGGTAGGATCCAGACACTGGTAGCCTTTTTGAGTGGCGGAATAACAAAGGAAGATACATTTGATTGAGCAAGTTTACTACGAGTTGAGTTTATGTTACGGACAAAGGTTGTGCACCTAAATATTTTGGGGTCAAAAGTGGAGAATGACCGGTTGGTAAGAAAACACGACATCAAGACAGATAATGGTGTCTGAAAGTTGTGAATTTTTGTGGGAACTTTATTAATGAGATAGTTGGTAGTAGTGAGGATGACATCATTCCAAAACCGCTTGGGACATTGGTTTGAAACATAATTGAACCATCAACTTCAAAAGATGTCTATTTTTCCTCTTGGCTATCCCGTTTTGTTGAGGGGTATCCGTATAGAAACTATGATGGAGGATGCTCTTACTCACCAATAATTCTCCCAATATAGAGTTAAAGTATTTACAAACATTGTCTGTCCGAATGACTTGAATATTTATTTTGAATTGGGTTAAAATGAAGGAGCAAAAATTTTTAAAAATGACCACAACTTCAGATTTATCTTTTAAAATATAGACCCAAGACATCCGAGTGTGGTTATAAATTAGGGTGAGAAACCATCATTTATTGGTATAGCTCGTAGTTTGAGAGGGTACTCATAAATTACTATGAATAAGTGAAAAATGAGTGAAAGGATCGTATGGATGACGTGGATATAACACACGTTGATGTTTAGCTAATTGATAAATTTCACATTTAAAAGAATATGATTTTTTTTTTGTAAACATCAAGTGGTACAAATATTTTAAATAATGAACTAATATAACCTAAACGACAATATAAAAGTATAATAAGACATGCGAAAGAGAATATTATAACCATGAGACTGAGTGGCAGTGTCATCACTGTCATTTTCTTGGAAAAAATAGGGTACAACTACCCGCTTAGCATTTTCAATCATACTCCCCGAACGAAGATCCTGAAAGACAAACATTAAGGGAAAATGAGCAACACAAAAAAGTTCACATTTTCACTTACTGACCGACAAGAGATTGCACATAAGGAGTGTGTAATGCGGATTCCAAAGTAAACATGGCTGCAAATACAACCGACCCTCTACCGTGCAATGGAATTACAGGAGCCGTAAACAATTTAATCGTATCTTGCCCAGAGCAAGGATAATACGTCGAGAAGAAATGAGAACTCCCGATCATATGATCCGTGGCACCTGAATCAATAATCCAAGAGCTACAAGAATTAAACCTAGTGAGTGCATAAAGATGTTACCATGACGGACATGAGAGGTTGAATGCCAAGACATAGAAGGATGGTTGACTAGACCCAAGTAGTTTAAAATGAAGGTATTCAAAGGTGAGGTTTAGATGCCGAGACATGGAAGGAGACGAACCTTTACTCGACTGTCAGCACAAGGGGCTTGTAAGGTATGATTTCAATTGGCAGGTGGGAGATCCGACGGTTCTGGGAGGGGCTCCGGCCGACAGGAGGGAGGTCTAGGTGGCGGGAAGACTTGCAGGTGGAGCTTCTAGTCGACATTAGTGAAAAAGAAGTAGCGCGAAAGCCTACAGGGGAGTGATTCTTTTGCTAGAAATGGTTCCAGTGGACCTAAAGGGGAGTCTAGCCGGTAGGAGGTGGGTCAGGCGGCGGGAAGGGCCAACAGGGAGAGTTTAGGTGGATAGGTTAAGATCCCGATGGCTAGGGTAAGATCCCGCGGCTCTGATACTATTAAGGAATTCAACAGTATAATTTTATTGATATCAAAAGGGATATAAATACATGACACGAGTGTTATAAAAAAGGAAAGACATAACATACAAATCTCTAGGATTAATTAAGTTCTAATAACTACCTATAGATAAAAGAAAAGTCATAAACAAGGAAATACATAAACTAGGAAATATCCTGAAAGAAAAGAAAGAAATACTAATAACTTATAGTAGTTACAAATTCTGCAAATGGAGTTGCCATTTAGTAAAATATAAGTCAGGAATGACACGAGGAAAACAAGAAATGGCTCCATAATAACATAAATATTTATCCTTCATCACTAATTTTATAATTTCTTAAGGTTTAATAACTGCATTCATTGCCGATTCTGAGGTCGTAGGGAGAACTTTAGAGGAGGATTTGACTGACGAGTTATTTGTCGGTTTCCTGCAAAGCTTCCAATACTTGTCTTAGGTATGGTAAGGTTCGTGACAAAAATCACGTGGAGTGAATGGCTCATGATGGCGTGGCGGAGTGTGGAGTACTGTTGGAGACCAA